CCCCTCGGCGGCGTTTCCAGGCTTCAACGTGGGTCGCAGCGCCGGCGGCCGCTCCACCGTGCGGGAGATCAACCGCGACGCGTGCCACTTCCCGGGCTTCCCGGTGCTGCAGACGCTGCTGCCCAAGCACACCAACGTACCCGAGCTCTACTTCCTGCTGATGGCGCTCTTCCTGCAGCAGCCCGTCACCGAGCTGCCGGACAGCCTGCAGGTACATGTCAGTACCACAAATCCTCTTTTCTACTATTTTATTATGACGCGGGATGTCCAGAGTGGAACACGAACTAAAGCCAGAAAAAAAGCGAAAGCACAAATCGCTTTCAAATAGAGCCAAACTGTCCATCCATCCATTTTCTTCAGCGCTTATCTTGAACAGGGTCACGGGGAGTCGCTGGAGCTTATCCCTGCTGACTTCAGGCAGAAGGCAGACTACACCCTGAACCGGTCGCCACTCAGTCGCTGGGCAGATACAGAGACAAACGACCATTCGCACCGTAGCTGGGCGGGACCCGTGCAATTTAAAATGATTATTTTCATTATTATTTTGATTATAGTCCTCTTCTCGTGTATTTTTGGAACAAACACAATATCAGGTCTGTTCTTTTTCATCCAGCGCAAGCCCAGCCCTGCAAAAAAATTCCCCTGGCCGTTCGGCTTTGGAGGTTCCGCGACATAGTCATGAATGAGATGAATTACCCTCGTGAATATTCATGTTAAATATTGCGCGCGGCTTTGTGCCCCAGTTTGACCTGGATTCCATGTGGACGTTCATCTTCGGCGTGCCGGCGTCCAGCGCCACCGTGGTGGGCTCCATCCACAGCGTCTGCACCGAGGCCGCTTTCCTGCTGCTCGCCATGCTGCGCAGCATGCTCAACCTGGTGAGACCAAAGTACACACAAATACATTAGGTGGCCACATTAAAAAAAAAGGGGGGGTGGGGCAAAAATCTGGGAAAAAAAAAAAGCTGATTAAATGGTTCCGAAATTCATTTGCGGCAGCCGTGGCAGTCAGAGGAGGAGGGCTCGTGGCTCCGAGAGTACCCGGTGACGCTGATGCAGTTCTTCCGCTACCTGTACCACAACGTCCCCGACTTGGCCCCCATGTGGCACAGTCCCGACTTTCTGTGCGCCCTGGCCGCCGCCGTCTTCCCCTTCAACATGAGGCCGTACTCCGAGATGGTAATGTTGACTTTGAAGCACGCGGCAACATGGCACGCAGCGCCTCGCTACTCTTGATGATGAACTCTGTGTGTTGCACACACGTAGGGGGCGGGGGGGGGGTGCTGTTTGTCTTCCCATCATGGTTACAATAGAAGCATATATTATATGCTTCCGTTCAATTAGTTTCAAGATCGGATTTGTTAGGTGTTTTTATGCTTTGTTTTAGTTTCATTTTTATTCGTTTTAGTATTTATTTATTTGCATAATTTGTGGGGTATTTGTGTGAGATGAAAATAGGTCACTACATATTGAACGTAATAATAAAGTCAACGACAATTATCCAACCGTGGTTCTCATGACTCGGTTGAGTCACTTTGTGCGTGTTCCCGGCACGTCTTAATCATTCGTTCCTTCATTTTCCGAGCCGCTTAAGTCAATGCTAATACAGCGAAGCTACGCACAAGCAGGCGCAGTGGTAATAAAGATGCGGACTCGCGCGGCCGTTTTCCAGGTGAGCGACTTGGACGACGAGGCGGGCTCGCCCATCGAGGAGCTGAAGGCCTTCGGCTCGGACTCGGGCATGAACCGCAGCCAGTCCGAGTACTGCAACGTTGGCTCCAAGACGTCGCTCACCAACCACCCGGCCAAGAAGTACGTCTTTGACTTCATGAGGGCGCTCATCATGGACAACATGTGCGTCACGCCCGCCACCAAGCAGACGCCCGTCATCGACCTGCTGCTCGAGGTGGGCCGCCTGCGCAAATGTTCACTATTTTATTTTATTTTTTTCTCCATAATATCTCTTCCACTTTTCATTGCACTTTCAAGTTCTGGATGGTTGACATTGACTGCGTTTTCCTTCTCTTAAGTTCCCTGATTATTTTGTGATCCGAAGGCATCTCCGGAACGTTCCACCAGAACTCAGCAGAAGGAGTTCCAGTCCAACATCCTGGATGGCGTCATGGAGCACCTGCTGGCCGCTGATGTTTTGCTGGGTGAGATGCAGTCGGCACGCTAATCGACGTGCAAAGAAATGGTCTTCCTTGACCCCCCGCAGGGTTGACTTTGGCCACGAGTATCCCCCGCTTTGCCCCAAAAGACAACAAGTTGTGACCGGAGTCCCTTTGTCACAGGCGAGGATTCGTCCCTCCCCCTGAGCAGCGGCGGCAGCTACCAGATCCTGGTGCACAACGTCTTCTACTTCTGCCAGCGCGTGGTGGACAAGCTGTGGCAGGGCATGTTCAACAAAGACTCCAAGCTGGTGGTGGACTTCATCGTGCAGCTCATCGGACAGGTGCGCGCAACACAAGAAAAACGATATTTTCACCCAAGTTGTGCACATGGTTGACCAATTTAGTTCTTACTAAATTTCATCTTCTAAAATTCTGCAAATGTTGTTTTTATTCCTCAGTCCAAGAGGCGATCTCAGGGTCTGTCCCTGGACGCGGTATACCACTGCCTAAACCGCACGGTGCTCTACCAGCTGTGCCGGCCGCACAAGACGGTGGCGCAGCAGGTGGCGCTGTTGGACGCCTTGCGGGTTCTCACCGTCAACCGCAACCTGGTGCTCGGCCCCGGCAACCACGACCAGGACTTTGTGGCCTGCCTGGCGCACTGCTTCATCTGCCTGCACGCCGGCAGGTAAGGCTGATGTGAGAAGGCCGCGGCAGATTGCTGACACGTTTGGGGCACAGTCTGTGCTTCACTTAAAATTCCTGAATTTTCCGCAAGGTAGCTGTTGGCTTATCACAGCTTCCTCATTCTTGTCATACAACATAGAAATACTGCTGAAGAGCTATAGTTACCAAATTAAAAAAAAATATTCGCATTCTCATTGGTCATTGGTGCTTGAAGAATTCTGTGCTATAAACCGGTACAAGCGACCTGGTTGGTGTCACGGCCGCCATTTTTTATTTTATTATTATTATTTTTTTGATTGGTCTTTGGACCACGAATGATGGCGCTTGCACAACTGGGCTGGGCAACAACTGACTTTTATTATATGTCAAGTATTTCTTGGTCTTTCGGGGCTTGACACATTTTGCCTAGCAACAAGCTACCTAATGGGCATGAGTAACTCGTAAATAATATTTTATTGGTCAGTGGGGCATGAATGATGGTGCTCAACTAATTCTGCCTAGCAACAAATGACATATTGGCTGAGAGTCTGCCAAATGTATTTGCTTATTTTATACCAATTTATTGGTTTTGGGAGACAACTGACCTTGTGAGCGTGTCTGGTAACTGTCCTTTATGGTGTATTTTATACCAAAATGATACAAATTATTTGTTTAAAAAAAATAGAAAGTAAATTAAAAAAAGGAATTTGAGTGATTTAGTGTAATTTTGTAAATATTGCTGTAAAAATAAAATCAGTGTTCAATCCTACGTCGTATAGTTGGACATTCCCGGTTCTAAAGTGTGTGTGTGCGTGTGCGTGTGTGCAGCAGCGTGGAGGGCTTTGGCCTGGAGGCGGAAGCCCGTATGACCACGTGGCATGTCATGATGTCACCTGAAAATGGGCGGCAGCTTTGGCTGAAGGCGGTGAACCGCGTGTGGACGGAGCTGATGCACAGCAAGCGTCAGATGCTGGAGGACATCTTCAAGGTGTCGCTGCCCTGCAACGACCGCGGCCATGTGGACATCGCCACGGCCCGGCCCGCCCTGGAGGAGCCCGCGCTCAAGAGCTGGCAGAACCACCTGGGTGAGGAACAATTTCTTATTTTGGAAGACAGTGGTTTTCAACTCTGGGACCCGTGTTTTCCGGTTGTCGCCACCTGTCGTGTCGTGTATAAATTGGTAGTTCAGTAGCCAATGTAAATTTTAACTCAGGGCACCACCCAATTAAAAAAAAACAAAAAAAAAAACTCAATACTTTTGAATCAGTTGATATTTCAACACACAAAAGGCGTCATCAGGTTCTTTGTACCAAATGGAAAAAAATGAAGTGAGTGAAATGTTTTGGAAAACCGAATCAACACAGCTACTGAAATTGAGGAGGTGAAAAAAAAAATACCCAATTTTAACTCAGGGCACCACCCAATTAAAAAAAAAACAAAAAAAAAAACTCAGTTCTTTTGAATCAGTTGATATTTCAACACACAAAAGACAACATCAGGTTCTTTGTACCAAATGGAAAAAAATTAAGTGAGTGAAATGTTTTGGAAAACCGAATCAACACAGCTGCTGAAATTGAGGAGGTGAAAAAAAAATAGCTCTAAAGCTAAATGTAACCGTATCGCAATATAGTGGGGGAGCGAACAATGAACCTCGATATGGCCAAGGAAAAGAAAGCAAAAGGTTATGACACGAAATGAAACAAAAATTGAAAACACATGTTTCTTTCTGAAATAAAATGAAAATGATAACGTCGAGCGGGGTTTCACTTTAACCGCCCAGCCCCTACTCAGTCATAGGACCTAAGTGTCGTTGTTTTCAGTCCACGAGAAGAAGTGCATCAGCCGCGGCGAGGCGGCCGCGCCGGCCGTGGCCACCCAGTCCAAATTGTCGCGGGTCAGCAGCGGTTTCGGCCTGTCCAAGCTGACGGGCGTGCGCCGCCACAAGAAGGAGAACAACCTGAACAAGAACAGCCCCTCGGCACAGGCCAGTGCAAGTCCAAATCCGAATCCAGCCTCCAAAGTCTGAAATGTCACCGGGCGTTGTTTTGTCTTCACACCACAGGAAGCTTTCCAATGGATGTTCACGCACATCGCCGTGGTGAGAGACCTGGTGGCCATGCAGTACAAAGAGCACCAAGAGGTATCTACTCCTACTTGAACAACTTTTATTAGCACAACAAGTGCACGAAAATACACAAAGGATCGCGGAATACCCCAAAATTCTTGAAAATATGCTCGTCGCCCTCCTTTGGGTCACTTATTGCTAGGCAGAGTTCGTTGAGGTCCACCCAACAACAAAACTGACACATATCCGTCACCGCTAGGTCACTTGTTGCTAGGCAGAATCACCATCCTTTGTGCCCCAAAATTGGAAGATACTCGTCACATCCTCCAGGCCTTTTCTTGCTTGGCAGAATTTGTCCAAAATGGCCTTTTTAACAACAGGCATGTTGCCAGGCAGAATGTGTGATTCGCTAATCTGGAGTGTTTGCGTCTTGTCGTCTCCCAGCGGCAGCAGAACGCGCTCAAGTACGTCACGGAGGAGTGGGCGTCCATTGAGTACGAGCTTCTTCGCGAGCGAGGCCTGTGGGGGCCGCCCATCGGCTCACACCTGGACAAGTTCATGTTGGAGATGACCGAGGGGCCGTGCCGCATGCGCAAGAAGATGGTGCGCAATGACATGTTCTACATCCACTACCCTTACATCCCCGAGACGGAAAACAACACCAACTCGGCACAGGTGCGCCTTTTATGGCTTTCTTCTCACTGTCAAGTAACTTGTCGCTAGCGTTACCATTTGTGCGTCCCTCGATTGCCCCTTCTGGCTAGGAAACACTTTGATAGACCCAAAATCCTTTTCATAATTGGCATAGTGTATACCAGTCATCGCTTTGTAGCGTTACCATTTGTGCGTCCCTCAATTGCCCCTTCTGGCTAGGAAACACTTTGATAGACCCAAAATTGTTTTCATAAATGACATAGTGTATACCACTCATCGCTTTGTTTTTTTAATTTTACTTTAAAGACCTCTAAAACAATCATTACAGCTATGCCCAGCTAGTCACTTGTTGCTAGGCACCATTGTTGGCACCCCCAAAGAACACAAACATTCCAATCATGCCCACTAATCCACATGCTGCGAGGCAACATTTGTTGAGCCCCAATCGCAGACCAAAAACAAATATTTGAGCCACACCAGCAGCATTTATATCAAATATCAATATTTAAAAAACAAAATGGGATGTCATTATGAATCATAATTGTTTTTTGAAAAAATTTAAATTTAATTTTTTTCATTTCCTCCTTCCTGAGCAGAAGCCGGTTCGCTACCGTCGCGCCATCAGCGCCGACAGCAAAGAGTACTACATGCGCCTTTTGTCGGGCAACCCGGGGATGTACCAACACTCTGTGGAGCACAGCAGCGAGGGCGAGACCACCCGACACGAACCCGAGCATGGAGAGGACACCATTGCAAGGGTCAAAGGTCAGGCGCTTGGGACCGGAAATGAGCAAAAGGGCGACTGACCAGTCACCACTTTTTTCTTTTGGAATATTAGGACTTTTTTCCCTCAAAAATGCTATTTTTGTTGTTGTTGACGTTTTTCATGAGGGTTGCCATTTTTTCCTTCTAAATTGATCTTATTATCCCGTCTATTTTAAACAAAAGCGTTTATTATCTCAGGTCTGGTGAAAGCGCCGCTGAAACGCTCACGATCAACCGCGGACGGCGGCGACGAGGATGCTCAAGATCAGATCCAGGATCAGCCACCGGAGTTGGGCGGACCTGAGGAGGAGCAGCAGCAGCGGACTGACAATACCGCTCTGCTGCGACTGCTGGAGGAGGGGGAGAAGGTCAGCGTGACAGCAACAACAAGAAAGGATTCTTGATATATTATGCCTGTTTCATAAAAGAAAAAAACATATTATTTTCTTATTTTATCTTAACATGGCTACGAACTTAGTTCAGAAATTATTCTCGATATTCCACGGCTTTTCTTCTACAAGATAAAATTTGGTTCTTGGTATGTTCTGCCTTTTTCTAGGAAAAAAAAAAAGGAGGGGGAGAAGGTCAGCGTGACAGCAACAACAAAAAAGGATTCTTGATATATTATTCCCGTTTCATAAAAGAACAAAACATATTATTTTCTTATTTATTTTATTTTGTGCCAAACACGGCTACGAACTTAATTCAGAAATTATTCTTGATATTCCACGCCTTTTCTTCTACAAGCTAAAATTTTGTTCTTGGTATATTCTGCCTTTTTCTAGGGGAAAAAAAAATTACAATTTATTTTGGCTATATTGTGCCAATTTACTAGAATAAATTGTAATTTTATTGTTGTAGTTTTAATTTTGTGTGTTGTGTGTTGTGTGTTTAGATCCAGCACATGTACCGCTGTGCCCGGGTTCAGGGTCTGGACACCAGCGAGGGTTTGCTGCTCTTTGGAAAAGAACACTTCTACGTCATTGACGGCTACACTATGACCGTGTCCAGAGAGATCAGGGACATCGACACGCTGCCGCCCAAGTACTTCCGCACTTGACTACTTTTTCCCCCCCCAAACATCGAAGCATGTGGCGCACCACCTTGCCCCTACTCACACACTCAAAAAAAGCATGGCACAGTCCTTCCCCAAAAAAACGTGGGCACCCTTTCAGCATCCCAATAGATTTGGCGCCGCCTCCTCAAACAATCAATTTGATGCACCCCCCATTACACTTAACTGAGCTTTCAAAAATGTCCCGCAGTCTTCCCGAAATGGTGCTAGCCGCAAAAGCTTTTTAAACTCCCAGCGTGGGCACCCTTTCAGCATCCCAATAGATTTGGCGCAGCCTCCTCAAACTCCGCAGAGTTTGCATACTCTCTTCAGCATAACAATCAATTTGATGCACCCCCATTCCACTTAACTCAGCCTTCAAAAATGTCTCGTAGTCTTCCCGAAATGGTGTTAGCTGCAAAAGCTTTTTAAACTCCCAGTGCTGTTGGTGCACCCCTGTCTCTAATGCTGTGACTGTCATTCTGTGTTAGCTTGCATGAGGCCATCATCCCCAGGGGTGCGCGCCAGGGTCAGAGTCAGCTAAAGCGCACGTGCAGCATCTTTGCCTACGAGGACATCAAGGAGGTGCACAAGCGACGCTACCTGCTCCAGGTACGACTTGTTCTTTGGCTCTATGGGGTGCGCCATTTTTGTCAGGGTGTTGACGGGGGTGCGTGGCTTAAAAAAGGGTCTTGCGTTGTTGTGTGGCAGCCAATGGCGGTGGAGGTGTTCTCCGCTGATGGGAGGAACTACCTACTGGCTTTCCAGAAGGGGGTGCGAAACAAAGTCTATCAAAGGTACTGAACGCACCCTTAATTTTCCACTTTGACTGGACTCTGTATTAATGATAATACCGATCCCCATAGGTTCCTGGCAGTGGTGCCGTCGCTGGCCGACAGCTCTGAGTCAGTATCAGGACAGAGGCCAAACACCAGCGTGGAGCAAGGGTGCGTTTTATTTATGAGATGAAAGGGGGGGGAAAAATATCCAGCAAACTGTACTGCAGCTCACTAACAACTGAAATTATATTGTAATGAAGGTGTCACAAAACCACGGCTAATGTTGCAAATCATTAATGGTAACTGATGCTAATATCTAATGCTAAAACTGGCACATTCGTTTGCAAAAGAAATGCAAAATCCTGATCCGGTTGCTATTGCTCGCAACAGAAAAACTACCACTGTTGCTAATGCTAAAATCAGGCTAACCGTCTCGGTGTGTCTGCCATGTCATCAGGTCTGGTCTCCTCAGTACTTTGGTGGGTGAGAAGTCAGTGACTCAGCGTTGGGAGGTAAGAAGCCTCTGGTGTCTCGTGTCAGACCCTCCATCCTCGGTCCTGTCCCAGCCTGACTTGTTTGGTTTTTTTTTTTCCAGCGAGGGGAGATCAGTAACTTCCAGTACCTGATGCACCTCAACACGCTGGCGGGACGCTCCTACAACGACTTGATGCAGTACCCGGTCTTCCCCTGGATCCTGGCCGACTTTGACTCCGAGGTGTGCTATGCGGCGGTGCAGCCGGGCATCTGTCTCGAAGCCTGTCGTGCTGACTTCGGTTTTATGTTTGTTATGTGACAAAGGAGCTGGACTTGAACAACCCCAAGACCTTCCGCAATCTCGCCAAGCCCATGGGGGCACAGACGGACGACAGGCTGACGCAGTACAAGAAACGCTACAAGGACTGGGAGGACCCCAATGGTAACGAGTGACAAGTACACCAACCATTGACTGGATGAACACCGAGCGAATGAGCGACACATACACCGTCCAATGACTTTTTTCCCCATGCAGGCGAAACCCCCGCTTATCACTATGGCACACATTATTCGTCCGCCATGATCGTGGCCTCCTACCTGGTGCGCATGGAGCCTTTCACGCAGATTTTCCTTCGACTACAGGTGAGGAAATCCTTATTTGGATCAGCCGAAGGTAACACTGCTAAGCTAACACAAAGGGCCCCACACCCCAGGGAGGCCATTTTGACCTGGCCGACAGGATGTTCCACAGCGTGCGCGAGGCCTGGCTGTCCGCCGCCAAGCATAACATGGCCGACGTCAAGGAGCTCATTCCCGAGTTCTTCTACCTGCCAGAATTTCTGCTCAACTCCAACAACTTTGATCTGGGTCAGTAGCGGCTAACATGCTAACAAACAGCATCACTGATGCTAACGGCTATCTCTTTGACGCAAATAGGCGCCAAGCAGAATGGCACCAAGCTGGGTGACGTCATCCTGCCTCCGTGGGCCAAGGGCGACCCCCGGGAGTTCATCCGGGTGCACAGAGAGGTGCTCCATTAGCATATTTTCAATCTCACGCACCCTCACAGTTCAGGATGCCTGTTCTACGTCAAACATTTGTTTTTTTTCCCTGTGGTTATTCTGTGTTCATTCTCGCATCTTTTTGTACAGGCGCTGGAATGCGAGTATGTGTCGGCGCACCTCCACGAGTGGATTGACCTGATCTTTGGTTACAAGCAGCAAGGTCCTCCTGCCGTGGAGGCCGTCAACGTTTTCCACCATCTCTTCTACGAGGGCCAAGTTGACATCTACAACATCAACGACCCTCTCAAGGAGACCGCCACCATCGGCTTCATCAACAACTTTGGGCAGATCCCAAAGCAGGTGCTAATGCTAATGCTAACACCTCATTACTCAACTCAACTGCATTTCTCGAGCACTTTAAAACAACCACAGCTGTATACGAAGTGCTGTACATGGCGCTAATGCTAACAGCCTAAGAAACATTATTGTAGCTAATGATAATGCTAAGGCTATTGCCGGTTGATGCTAATGGCGCAAAATGCCGCTGCCGCTCCTGCCACAAAATAAATGCTATTTTAGCGAATGAGAGTGCCACAGCAACTGTATGGTGGCTAATGCTAACCTCCAAACACTGCCGCTGTGGCCAATGTTTATGTCACAAACGCGTGTATGTGTGCTGCAGCTCTTTAAGAAGCCCCACCCACCTAAACGGGTGCGCAGCAAAGCCAACGGCGACCCCATCAACATACCGCCGAGCTCCACCGGCGAGAAGATCTTCTTTTACCACCTAGACAACCTCAGACCCTCGCTGGCCCCCGTCAAAGGTACGCATATTCACGCGTACGATATAACAACACAAATATTCCAAATGTTACTGTTTGTTTTTGTTTCAGAGCTGAAGGAGCCGGTGGGTCAGATCGTGTGCACCGACAAAGGCATCCTGGCCGTGGAGCAGAACAAAGTGCTGACTCCGCCCACGTGGAACAAGACTTTCGCGTGGGGCTACGCCGACCTCAGCTGCCGCCTGGCCAACTACGAGTCCGATAAGGTCAGTGGCGGGTCTTTCTACATATAGTATCCATAAAGAAAGAATAAGTAGTAAAAATATATGTATGTCCCAGCTGAGCATGGGACACAATCTGAGCAGGCCTGGGCACTTTGCTCTGGAGATCCAAAAACTTATTTTTTAACATTTACATATGCGGCGCATGGTGTCCCCCCCCCCTCCCTCCAGGCGCTGGTGGTGTACGAGTGCTTGTCCGAGTGGGGTCAGATCTTGTGTGCCATCTGCCCCAACCCCAAACTGGTGATCACGGGCGGTACCAGCACGTCCATCTGCGTTTGGGAGACAGGCACGTCCAAAGAGCGAGCCAAGACGCTCACGCTCAAGCAGGTAAAACTTGGGATTTTCACAACGTGATGCCACGATACTACACCCCAATCCCCGCATTCCCTCCCGCGTGTCTTCGCAGGCGCTGCTTGGCCACACGGACGCCGTCACGTGTCTGACGGCTTCGTCCGCGTACCACATCGTGGTGAGCGGTTCTCGGGACAGAACCTGCATCGTGTGGGACCTCAACAAGCTTTCCTTCATCACGCAGCTACGAGGACACCGCGCTCCCGTCGCCGCGCTTTGCATCAACGAACTCACGGTGGGCGCAAAGACAAATACGAGGGAGACCATGATTTAAAGAAGCTTGGGCTTAATTGCTTAATTGCATCCCAAAACCACTACTGTGGCTAATGCTAAAATCCACAAACTGCCACTACGGCTAATGCATATTGCACGCTAACTGTTATGAAAGTTTGTATCACAAAATTGTGACGATTGCTGACATGCTAAAGCTAGCTCGTGTGTGCATGTGCAGGGTGACATTGTGTCGTGCGCGGGCACGTACATCCACGTGTGGAGCATCAATGGCAGCCCCATCGCTAGCGCCAACACCTTCACAGGACGCAGCCAGAACATCGCGTGCTGCTGCGTATCCGAGATGAACGAGTGGGACACGCACAACGTCATCGTCACGGGACACTCGGACGGTGTCGTCAGGGTAAATGCGTGCAAAAACAGAACGAAAAAAAAATGCCAGCTAACACCAGAAGCTAATTTGGAATTCCTCTTTCCTTATCGTATTTTCCACCTATGTTTGGGTAGTTCAAGGTGCCTCCGTAAACATGAGCGCTCTGTTGTTGTTGTTGTAGTTCTGGAGGATGGAGTTCCTCCAAGTGCCAGAGACACCCGCTCCCGAACCTGTCGAACCCGATGTTCCAGACTGCTGCGGAGACGACAAACTCGGTCAGTCTGGAAACAAACAAAGAAAAAAAAATAAAATAACTTTAAGTGTTCACCTTTTGTCAGGATGTATCATGTGATTTTCTCTCTGGTCCTTCAGAGGGCGGTGATGAGGACAGCAGCGAATCAGACGGAGAAGATGGAGGCGGAACAGCAAATAGTCTGAGCCAGGAACATAAAGCAGAACGCAACCCGTCTAGTCAGCCGGGCAGCCAACCAAGCAGCACCGTGCACAGACCTCGAGGTAACAGCCAGCAAAAAGCTCATCTCCTCTATTAGGGTAATTGTAACAGAGAAACAATTCTCCACTGTAAAAACTGTGATGCCACTGTGTCATATCATATCACCGTTTAGTGATACGTTTCTGTATAATTACAACATTGTATAGCTGTAAAGCATATGTAGCTGTTTTAAATATACAGCTGTTTTTATAATAACCCATTCCCTGAATATCAATCAAGGTCAGAAAATCCCACATACAGTCATGTAATGTGTCGTGTCTAACGTTCTAAGAATCACGTACTCTAACAATTTTGAGATTGTCACAGTCAACGTGAAGACTTCCATAATTTACTGACCAAACAACTGCTGCTCGATGAATAGACATTTGAAATGGTTGCAAAATATCAGTTTTGACATTTGACATGTATTGATTAGAGGACTTTTCAAGCTGCAGTGTGGGCCCTTTTATTTCAAAAATTCAAACTTGAGCCGTATTTTTTTTTTTTTTTTTGGGGGGGGGGGCACACCCCCACTTTCCCTATCCACAAATTGAGTAAAAACAACCCATGTTTAGGAAAGTTTTCATTTCCGAAAACAAACTTTTCCAAAGTGTTTACGTTGTGCACCCCTTTAGAGTTTCCTAGCACAATCCCACAGACACAAACAAAATAGAAAACAATGATCGAAACCTCTCTTTTGATTTCAATTTGTAGCAGTCTTTGCTAGTTTTAAGCGCATGCCTGCTTCACCACACCAACGGAATTGGCGCACCCCTTTCCCTGTCACCACAACCCACCTCTACCCACAAAAATTCAAACAAAGCTTATTTACTAGATCATATGTAACATTCAAACCCCCAGGGGTACTTGACAAACACGGTGCACACACGACAGTTGCATGAAACTAAGCATCAATATTTTTTTCCCCTCAAGGTCCATCCACACGAGGCGGTGCGTCATGGTCGATGGACAGCGGCTCGGACGACTCCCACCGCTGGTCCGACAGCCTGAGCATCGACGAGAAGGACGGCTTCGTGTTTGTCAATTACTCGGAAGGCCAACACAAGGGTGCGCACCCCCACCATGTAAACCCCCACGGTCTTAGTAGCACCAGCAATCAGCTGTTGAACCCGCCTGCTGTGGAGGCGCGTGCCTTCAACCAGCTCAGGGCAGGTAGGTGTTGTTATTGACTTTTCGGGTGTGCGTGCTAATCGCGAACACAATTTGTGCGTCGCTTGGATAGCTGTTATTTTATTTATTTTTAAGTTATCGGAATATCTTTCGCACCCCTCTTCAACAGTCAGTCAAAATTGCTAACCACGACCTTGCTAACGTGTCGACAGGCTACAGGTGGGAGCGACAGCTGGTCTTCCGCAGCAAACTCACCATGCACACGGCGTTTGACCGCAAGGACAACGCGCACCCCGCCGAGATCAGCGCACTCGCCATCTCCAAGTGAGTCGCAGTTTTGTCTCTGAGCTTTCATTCCATGTCCATGAGATCAGCTTCAAGTTCATGCACTAGTCTGCGCTTGACTTGACTAGTAGCAATTTTAGGATACTAGTAAGGCAACTCTGTGTTAGGCACTGGTAATGGAAATAACAGTACTGGTAAGACGCATTCGTTCTAGTGGTGCGCTGTTTTGTCTTAGTCATGAGGACAAAAAAGCCAAACTGGCGCATGAATGGTTTTGCATCTGCCACTCACCTTTTTCGTTCCTTCCTGACAAGGGACCACAGCAAGATACTGGTGGGCGACGGGCGCGGTCGCGTCTTCAGCTGGTCGGTGAGCGACCAGCCGGGGCGCTCGGCCGCTGACCACTGGGTGAAGGACGAGGTGGTGGACAGCTGCTCGGGGTGCGCCGTGCGATTCTCCCTCACCGAGAGACGCCATCACTGCCGCAATTGCGGACAGCTGTTTTGTCAGAAGTAAGTTTCACACAAAACTGGATGGAAAAGCCCCAAAATGAGAAATAATCTTTCTGAATGGATTTTCTTTTCCCTCATGAGTTGGCATATCCCCGCTCCCTCGTAGTCACCCTCAATTTTTGGGAATGCTTATTTTTTCGCAAACCCTGAGCCCTTGCGCACACCCCTGAAAATATGATTTGGAAATGAAGTCATATTTCCAAGGAGAAAATAACACTGAGAAAAAAGGAAGGAAGGAAGAAAAGCACCGTTAACATTTCTTTCTAACCCCATCTCACCCCGCACACACCCTCCAACATTTAAAAATAAAACTGCAAAGCTTTGTGACGCGTTTTGACCTCCCCCGTTTGCAGGTGCAGTCGCTTCCAGTCGGAGATCAAGCGGCTGAAGATCTCGTCCCCAGTGCGCGTGTGCCAGAACTGTTACTGCAACCTCCAGCACGAGCGCACGGCCGCCGGCGACGAGCACAAGAACTGAGCGCGCCCCCGACCCCCAATCACCATCCTCATCATCCTCCTCCTCAAGGTGTCTATAGTGTACATACATGTATCCACGGCCTTTTGAACAACAAAAAAAAAAAAAACAAGGTCAAATGTAACATAGCAGCGAGCAGGTGGACGTCAAAGAGATTTGAATGTCACTCATGAATAATAATGTCACTCGTTATGCAAAAATTGTGTCCACCATTTTTATTTTCTTTTTTTTTTTTTTTTTTTTCAAAAATTGTTGAGTTGCTGCTTCCTGAAAAGACTGGACGGACATGTTGGAGTCTCATATCTTATCTCTTGAAATAACTTTAATATTAATCATGTCTGGTCAGTCTTGAGTTAATGTACAGGATTTTCTACCAAAAGGGATTTTTTCTTCTTCGATGTGTGTTTGTTTTTTTTCTTGTTTGTTTTCTTTTATTTTTAATATAAAAATATAATTTGTTGACTGGGCCCATGGGCAGGATTCTCATTGCCATCATCATCATCATCATTGTCTTGTCATGGTTCAAAACAAACATGTTGTTTAGGTTGCAAACAGCAGGAATGTCCACACATTTAAACACGTCATTCATTAGGTTTTATCATTTTAATCTTTTTTTTTTTTTTTCGCGGGGGGTTGCATGCTTGGAACCTGGTTGCCGCCAACTGTGAGTGCCAAAAATCAATGAAAGATTCCATCCATCCATCCATTTTCAACAGCATTTATCCTGAAGAGGGTCGCAGGGCGGGCTTCACCCTAAACTGGTCGCCAGCCAGCCGTAGGGGAACATAGCGAGATGAACCACCATTCACATCCACATCCGCGCCGTCGCCAAGCGGGTGTGCGATCCCGCTGCACGCACACGAGTCAGGCCAGTGAACCACGACACTATCAGTGACTAGAATGACACAAAATGACAGTGAGAACAAAACATCCGTACCGTACAAGAATAAAGTATGAGCGAAAAAATTGATCAATTCCCCCCCCCCCCAAAAAAAAACAAAAGTTTGGATTTTAGCAGTTAGAAACTCAGATTGTTCTTTCGAAGATAAGATTAGAAAACCTTTATTCATCTCACAATGGAGAAATTCCCAATTATCTTTCTTCATCTTACAACGAATCATGTCACGAGTCTTTTTTTTTCTCAAAATGTCTTCTATTTGTATTCACATTTTTTTTCTTGAAAAATAACTCTTGGAAAAATTAAGCTTCTACGTTTGTTGAAAAATGTGGCTTTGATCTCATCATGACATGCCGATTTTGATCCAAGAAAAATAGAATTCATCTTGGAATGTTACAATTCTATTCTAGGCAAATTTTAATCTTGTAATATCACAACTTTTTTTCCTCTGAAAAATCTGACTGTAATCTCATACTATTCAAATGTTTTGGAAAAAAAATTCAAGGTGTCGCCAGATCACAGTGCACACTTGAGTCTCTTTTTAAATCGTGTTTCTCAGCACAAGAAGCAGATTGATGGTTTCACCCCATCCAACACAAGATGCGGTGGTCACCTCATAGTTTTGATTGGCAAGACCAAATGACCAGGTTCACGAACACGGTGGCGGTGGCCATTTTTGATGATGTCATAGCATTAGGCGTCCTTGTCAATCAGCAGTGTACAAAATCTTAGTTTTTTTTTTTTTTGTTGTTGACTTTTTTGTTTTTATATGAAATATTTGCGCAGTCCCTGATGACATTTCACTGTACAAAGTATTTATGCAATGACTGTTTTTTTTTTGTTTTTGTTTTTTTTAAAGAAAGATTGTTGCATGAACATGGCGGACTGACTTGGAGCGTCAGTACCACGACAACGAGACTTTCTTCTTCCTGTCCCCATTATTGTCGTCTGTTATTTTGTGTGTGTGTGTGTGTGTGTGTGTGTGTGTGTGTGTGTGTGTGTGTGTGTGTGTGTGTGTGTGTCACAGTTTTGCAAGGAAAAGACACTTTTTGGTGGGCTGGGCCCGACACTTGACACTCACAAGGACTTACCCCCTGGCCTGCTGGAAAACGGAAAAAAAAAAAAAGACGGTAGCGTGCGGCTTGTGGGGCTTCTGCTATTCGAACACTTTGCGAGTATCTGCTGTGCAATCCGTGCTACATGAATGTTTCTTCTTGTGTGTTTGTGTTCACACACCACAAATCATGTAAAAACAACAACAAAAAAGAACAAATCTTACTCCCTTGTCATCATGGAAACAAGATGTTACAATAATGCAATAGAGCTGATACTTATTCTTTAGCCTTTCAATAAATAATTGCTGTTTACCACCAAATGTCTCGTTCATTTACATTTTTCAACAAAAAGTCAAAATGTTCAAGAAAAAAAAATACGCATCACTTTTTAAGCAACGTAGTTTCAAAGAAAAAAAACGTTTATAAGACACACATTTTTCAAGAAAAAAGTAGAACATTTCAACATTTAAAAGTAAGATGATTTTTTTTCAACTCACACTTTTTTTGTTGATTTTTTGGTCACCCTTATTTTCAATGGACAAAAACATTTGAAGGAAAGTACTTTTCAGGAAAAAAAAATCTCAAGCCATTTTCAATAAGTAATTTTTTTTTCGGTAAAGAAAAAGTTTAATTTAAAATAGTACAGTTTCAAGAAAGTCCACCTTTCAAGAATAAGCACTATTTGTTCAAAGTCTCCTTTAAAATACTTTCAAAGGAACCCCAATATTTTAGGTTTTAAGTCATTTTCAAGTCGTTGCGTTTTTTGTTAAAATCAATATTTTCATAAGCGGTCACATGAACAAAAATTTTTTTTTTTTAGGAGAATAAAACAAGCTCCTCGTAATTCATCTACGTGTAGATAATTATTTATTCGGGTGATCGTCATATTGTTTAATCAAATAAATAATCAATAAGCACCAAACATTTCCGTTCATGAAGGGTTTTGATTTGGTTGCTAAGTGACGTCAAAAGCGTCTCGCGCACGCGCATTTATCATCTGCAGTCAGGATTAACTGCCGCAACCGCGGATCAAGTTAACGCTTGTAGCGCCATACTGGAAGCGAACATTGTTTCACCCACCAAATTAATTCTGCGCTTAAGGCATTATCATAGCCTGTTGCTTTACTTTGAAAGTCCGCATATTTAGGACTTGGTTTCCGCACAGTGACTCTGTCTTGATGACGGATTGCAGTGATAAACACAAACACGCAGTCTGAGCCCAGTCTGCGGCCGGGGACGTCAGTGGAGCTTTATGGACATAGTTAGCGGATAACCTCTGGTTCCCTGATTTCGCTTCGCTCGTTCGCTACCCGCGGCCTTTGACGCCGCGAAACCTTGGACCAACCGTTCAAGAGGAACCCAGGCGAGGGCGAGAAAGCTGGTGACCGTCCTTGCGAGCCTCCTTTCCCGGGTCCCCTCACTTCTCCTTGGGGGGCGGTTTACTCGAAGGCGGCGGGCGGCGGAAGCAATATGACCGAGCTCCGGCGACGAGGGGGCGGCGGAGAGGACCCGGACAGCACTGACAACATGACTGATAAGGTGAAAATAATTATTTTAGTCATCAAAAAAGCTTCCCGTCGGCTGGACGAGTTGGTGATCGAGTTTGTCAAACCGAAGTGGGACGGGACGGGAGGCGAATTATTAGCCTGTTAGCTTGTTAGCGAGCTAAGTGGCTAATCCCTCCACTGGTTTAAAAATAGCCGCACTCGCTTTGATTCAATGTTTACAACACATCCTGCTCACAAGTATGGAAACGCCCGGTGAAACTGCCAAACTCCACACCATTTACTCACGAAACTTGACATACCAAGATGGGTTTTTTTGTAGTTGTTAAAATAAGAAAACAAATCTGTGAAATTGTTTTCTCAGTGCAGTTCCGAACAACAATACAAAGACTCCACTCAACTTTATTTAAAAAAAAAAAGTAGTGTGGATCCCCGTTATTCGTGAACATTCGCGCCTTATCATTATCTCATAAATTGAATCTTTTAACTTTAACATCATGTTTGCAACAAATGCATTGGATTCACATGTTTCAACCCCCCAAAATTCTTGAATAAAATAGTGTAAACCACCAAGAAGCGTTTTTCACTGGAAAGCGTTTTCAGGAAAACTCCTGAAGAAAAACAAAACAAAACAAAATATGTTAAGAAAAAATCTCAGACTGGGTGGATTCACAGGTGCCAAACGTGAGTATGCAGGGGCCCACTGTATATCTAAACAGTGCAGTACAATTTAAAAAGCAAAACAATCATAAATTATTGTCAAAAACAAATCAAAAATAAAATACTATTCAAGTAAAGACTCATGCAGCGCCTCTGCTTTGTCTCTAGCCCAAACTGTCACAGTCATTATGTTGGCTGCCTTTTTTTTTTTTCAAGTCACAATTTTATCAAATTACAATCATTTTCCCCTTTTCCCCCCCTTAAAAGCGTATAAACTATTCCCAGAATAATTTCTACTTTTTTAAAGTCAAAAGTAAAACTCTTCTAAGAGTAAGTAAGGCTAGAAAAGTTGTAAAGTCATATTTTTTTGTGTTATTTTAAAGGATTAAAATCGTTTTTGTAAAAAGTGTGCAATCATGCAAGAGAAAAAAGATTTATTTTAGAACAAAATCCATTTTCAAAACAACAACAACAATTCTTATCTATAGTCACAATAGTCAGCTCCACTTTGCTGCTGGAAAAGCTGAATTGCGCGACTAATTAAGCCCCATTCCTTTCTGTTCTAATTTGCTCTATTCTGTCCTGTCCTGTCCTGTTCTGTTGTCACATTGTAATGATAAATGAGCCCAGTGATCATGAGTCATCGATATGAGTGAAACGCGTTCAAGAGTTGGCGGGATGCTGAGTGTTGACCCTTTACCCCCGCTCGGGAGGGTGTGCTGCTTGTGCTGCGTTGACTGAACGACCTTTGTACCAGTTGGATGAGTGAGGAAGACTCTTGAGGAAGATTTCTCTCCTTCTGTCCAAATTGCAAGCGTCCAAAATCCCTTCTATGATCATTTCCATGCGCCCTGTCATGAGGAGCGCGCGCGGCAAATTTCGTCACAGTCGGGCACATCGGTGTCAGATGGTCATTATTTTCAAGTAGGAAGCAACAGCGCCAAAAAAAAAACAACATTCCTGCATGAATGCAAAAATGGGAGGTTGATGAAAATCTGGAGCGTCGTTCGTGATCCGACGGCACGCTCTTTGGGGCCCTCAGTGCTTGTCGTCATCTGATGGCTGTTTGTGTTGAAACTTTGGTGAACATGTCATGTGATGGTGGCAACATCATCGAGGATTTGCACTCTTCATTATGGAATGAAAAGACTCCAATGTTTGAAGGAAGGAATGAATGAATAAGTGCGGTGGGGATATCCAGGAGGAGGAAGCCCACTGGGGGTGGGTGGGGGGGCGCATTACATGGATATAGCAACTCTTACTAGTGAAATTCATATTTACATCATGCGAGCGGGTCATTGTATGCCAAATGACACAAATTTGACAACAGTTGAACGATCTTTGACTTGATTCCATTTTTTGCGGGAGAAGTATCGTCGCAATGTTGAGACAATTCATGTATTTTTTTGATAAAGTTGTTTTTAATTTTAGAAATTAACCTTTGAATAATGGTTTAAAAGTTTTTGTAAAAAAAAAAAAAAAAAAAAAAGGTTGTACATGCCCCAAAAAGTTGAAATAATCTTTATTTATTAATTTATTTGAGAAACAAAAAAAGGTTGTATTTCACAAGCAAAAATGTATTTTTTTCTGAAACAAATTGTGATTTTGGAGGGATGGTTTTATTTGTTTTGGGTTTTTTTTTTGCAAGGGAGTTTTCACCCTAAGACACTCTTTTTTAAGTTTGTGTATTGCGAAAACGGTGCAATTTAGTCATAACATTCATGTTTTAGGAGTCATATTTTTCCAAGAAAAAGTTTTTTAAAAGCAACCAGGACCTTATGAATTTGAAAGTCATCATTTTACTCTTCACATTACAAATTTCTGGGGTGAAAAAAAAATAAAACTTTCAGTATCAGCAGGTCAATCCACCCTTTTTTTTTTTCAGCCAGAAATTGAAACCCGTGGAGACAAGAGTTTTTAAATATGTATTTCTATATTTAGTCAGAGATAATGTCACCCATCCATGCGCTAATTCCCTGGCTCTTGCTTCACCTCCCTTTTTTGGGTTGGCTCTGGCCGCCCGACGCGATCCCGGCGGCAGTCAAGCGTGAGCGCTAGCTCCAGTGAGTGAGCTAATTTGTCAAATATGACGAGCCAACTGGACCTGTTCCTTCGGTGTGCCTTTTTTGGACACGCTTGGTGCAAGGGAGAAAAAAAAGTGTTGAAGGAGTCAAAAGCAGAGGCTCGTGTTTGCTTTGTTATGCACATTACTGCCACCCACAGGAGTGGAGTGGAACGGTATTGGGCGCAGCCTACCACTTTTCAAACGAGGTTTTAAAAGTACAGTTTTTGTCTCGATGAAAAAAATCAAACATTATCTGCTTTATTTAGCACTTTATTCGATTTTTAAAAAATTTGTATTTTTATCTTACCATGCTACGCAGTCCTTGGCGACTTTGCAGCAGCCAATCATCTTGCAGCGGGTGGGGGGGGGGGCTCGCATCAAAAATGAAAGCAAAAAAAAAAAATTTGGCGGAAAGACGGCTGCAATCTCAAACATCTTGACTGAGTCCATCAAAACGGTGACTTTCGCGCTAACAGGTTTTGCTGTCGTAGCACCTCAAACAATTTAAAAACGACACGACACAAGATTACCCTTTGCTGTAACGCAGTTCCTGCAAGGCAACTGGAGCTTTCTCGGCCCGGGGTTGCTTACCGCTGCTCAAGATGAACGACTTCTCACCTCCTTTAGTGATAAAGACACGCAGCGTCATGTTTAGCCGCGCGAGCGAACCGGCCGAAGCTCATAGCCAGCGCGGCGCAAGTTAGCTTGAGGCCTATCGTTTCCCCATTCCTTTCCCAAGCGGGGGCGAATAACATCGTAGCCCAAATTTATACCTGATAGACCGCGCACCTCTGTATGCCTTTTAATATGGAATATGGCTTGATGTAAGAACTGTTCCTGAAGTTGTGACATGTTCATAATGATGAAGCGTTCCTTCACACCAAGCGGGACCATCGCAAACCGGATCTTGTATCAACACGGGAACCTCGTGCTGCTCGCTGCTGTTGCTTTTCCGTCACGTGTTTGTAAATGTCAGTCACTGAAACTTTGGTTTTGTCTGGGTGTGAAGGAGGGCGAGGACGACAGGTTGTTGGGCCTGCAGGGCGACACGGAGGCCGAGTGCGACGTGGACACCAAGGCGGACGCCGCC